GAAGATTTAGTAAAAATTACTATAATGAGAATGGCTTATGAGCACAAGCAGTAAAACGCTGGTATCGTTAGATTATGCGATTAAATACTTACTTAAGGATAAAGGTGATTAGAAATAGTAAAAGGCTTTATCTCGGCTATACTTAAGGATGCTGGTTATTTACCAGTAAAAGTAGAGTTTCCGAAGAGGTCTAATAGCTGTAGGTTAATTGTTGATAATATCAGCTCGAATCAGGATTATAGTGATATCAAAAAAATATTTCATATCAACTTAATATATTTTGTGTTGAGCGACATAGAATCGCCTTTATATCACGGTCAAACTATATTTAGAAAAATGGACAAGGAACATCCTGTAGACTTACATCTTGCTGATATGAGGTGTAGGTTTTTTGATCTTCACAATGTATTTCCTGAATATTTTGTTATTTCCGTACCGCTTTTTGATGATGTTATAAAAGATGAGTTGGATGAGTGGTTATATTTTGCTAAACATTCTGAAGTTAAAGATGATTTTAAGTCACCTTATATGAAAAAAGTAGCAGAACGTCTCAGTGTTCTAAAAATGACTACAGAAGAACGTCAGCACTATCAGAATTATGTCAATGAATCGCTAAAAGAACGTGATTATCTAGTTGCAGCTAAAACTGAAGATAAAGCTGAAGATAAAATAGAAATAGCAAAAAAAATGCTAAAAGAAGGCTATACTGTAGAAACAGTAAGTAAATTAACAACATCATCATATGAAGAAATAGAAAAATTAAAAGATATATTATGAAAGATTTAACCCAATAACGAAATACAATGGGAAATGGTATAAGGCAGATGAAAACCTGAGAAATATATGGTGGGCGGTAGTGGGCTCGAACCACCGACCTTTACGATGTCAACGTAATGCTCTAACCAACTGAGCTAATCGCCCATATTTTCCTATACTAAATCTGTTGAATTAGTACTAAACTTAATATGTCTAATATATAATAGTTTTAATTTCAAGTTTTATTTGCATTTTTTTTAATGTTCCATTAAAATCCAGCATAAAATTGTATAATGACTTTGAAATCTCAAGCTTTTGATATTAACGATAATTTTATAGTAGCACTAGATGGTTTAGCAGCGTCTGGCAAAGGTACTATTGGACGGATGCTTGCTATCAAACTGCAACTTACTTATTTTCAATCAAGTATTGTATATAGAAGCTTGGCTGCTTCTTGTATAAATCAACAAATTGATCTTACTGATATAAATGGGGTA